TCTCTGCTTCAAAAAGCCACTTAGAACACATTAAGATATACATCAACCTGCCATGCAGATTGGGAGAGTATTGCATCTTCATGGAGTGGTATTGTGAATAGTAGGGATACTTTCCTCTCAGTTGACCAACAGCTTGTCTTCCACATCTAATTCACGGGATCTCCAATCACAAAGAATAGGTTACCACTGTGAACAACTCATATTGTGGGTCTCATACCCATCTCCCTCGATGCATTATCTATCACATTACGTGATAGACCCTTAGTAAAAGGATCTGCCAGATTTTTAGACGTTTGGATATAATCCAACGCAATAACTCCGGAGTTTTTCATTTTCCTGACAGACTTTAACCTTCTCCGAACGTGTCTTGATGACTTCATGTTATCCTTTGAGCTGCTCACTTTTGTGATCACAGTTTGATTATCGCAGTTCATAAGGACACCCGGTACAAGTTTCTCAACAACCGGCAAGTCATTCAAGAGCCGGCGAAGCCAATCTGCTTCAACCGTAGCTGTATCTAGTGATGTGAGTTCTGCTTCCATTGTTGACCTCGTTAAGATGGTCTGCTTGCAAGACTTCCAAGAAACAACGCCACCTCCATGAGTGAATACATATTCGCTCGTGGCCTTTATCTCATCAGCATCTGAGATCCAGTTTGAGTCACTATACCCTTCAAGCACCTTTGGGTGCCCGATGTAGTGAATTCCACAATTTGCAGTGCCTTTCAAATAACGCAAAACTCTCTCTAGAGCTTTCCAATGCACATCTTCTGGTTTTGAGACAAACTGACTCAGTTTGCTAACAGCAAAAGAGATGTCAGGTCTTGTAGCACTGGCTAAGTACATAAGTGAGCCAATAATCTGAGAATACTTCAATTGATCTCTAGCAATTCTTCGATTCTTTCGAAGCAGCACGCTAGCATCATATGGTGTTGGAGAGGGCTTGCAGTCACTATAGCCAAAGCGACTCAAGATCTTTTCCACATAGTGAGATTGAAGCAATGTAATTCCACCATCATCATCTCTCAACAACTTGATGTTCATAATGACATCAGCCAATCCTAAATCCTTCATCTCAAAACAGCGAGATAGAAAATCCTTGACCTCCTTAATAACATTCAGATTTGTTCCGAAAATCAGTATGTCATCAATATACAAGCAAAGCATAACTCCCTCACCCCACCATGGCGATAGTACACACATTTGTCAGCTTCGTTCACAACAAAGCCTGCAGCTGTTAAAGTTCTTTCGAATTTCTCATGCCACTGTTTGGGTGCTTGCTTGAGTCTATACAAAGACTTCAGCAACTTGCACACTTTCCCTTCCTGACCATCTATTACAAACCCATCTGGTTGTTCCATATAAATTTCCTCATCCAACTCTCCATTTAGGAAAGCAGTCTTAACATCCATCTGATGAACGAGAAGACCATGTGAGGCAGCTAGTGAAAGTAGAACTCGAATAGTGGTCAGTCGAGCCATAGGTGAGTAAGTATCAAAGAAGTCTTCACCTTCCTTTTGGGTATAACCCTTAGCCACGAGCCGAGCCTTGTACTTTTCGATAGTACCATTAGGCCTAAGCTTCTTCTTGAATACCCATTTGCATCCTATAGGTTTGCACCCATAAGGACGATCAGTTATCTCCCAAGTTTCATTCGCCAAGATGGAATCCATCTCGCTACGAACTGCTTCCTTCCAGTAGTCAGCATCTTCAGATGCATAGGCCTCTGAAATAGAACTGGGAGTGTCATCTATGAGATACACAAGAAAATCATCACCAAAGGACTTTGCAGTCCTCTGTCTCTTGCTCCTAGTAGGAACTTCATTGTTCTCCTCCACAGGACTTTCAAAGTGTTCCATCGAAATGCCAGGTTCGGTAATTGTAACTGGTTCATGATTCGATGAACTAGGCATCTCCTGATTAGATGAGGTAGCCATATCCTTCATGGGAAAGATATCTTCAAAGAAAGTCGCATCATTCGACTCCATGATCGTACCGACATGCATGTCAGGTACCTCAGATTTTACAACCAAGAATCTATAGCCAATGCTATGAAAAGCATATCCCAGGAAAACACAATCCACAGTCTTTGGTCCAAGCTTCCGCTTCTTTGGAATTGGAACATCGACTTTCGCCAAACAACCCCATGTTCGCAGATAAGAGAGTTTTAACCTTTTCTTCTTCCATTCCTCGAATGGAGTTATCTCTTTGTTCTTTGTGGGGACTCGATTTAGGACATGACATGCTGTCAATATCGCCTCCCCCCACCATGCCTTGGAGAGACCCGATGTGTCTAACATGGCGTTAACCAAATCAGTTAGAGTACGGTTCTTTCTTTCGGCCACCCCATTTAACTGAGGTGAGTAGGGAGGCGTCCTCTCATGGATTATACCATGTTCCGCACAAAAAGCATCAAATTGATTGGAAAAATACTCTCCACCACGGTCGGACCTAAGCCTCTTGATTTTTCGATCAAGTTGGTTTTCCACTTCAACTTTATAGATCTTGAAAAAGTTCAAAGCCTCATCCTTAGATTTCAGAAGATACACACGACAGTATCTAGTGGAGTCGTCAATTAACGTCATGAAATATTTTTTCCACCTTTTGTCAAAACACCATTCATTTCACATAAATCTGAATGTATAAGTTCTAGTGGTGCAAGATTTCTCGTCTCTGCAGTCACGTGAGACTTACGAGGTTGCTTAGCTTGCATGCACACTTGACACTTAGATCCCTTGACAGTGGTGAAACTAGGGATTAAGTTCAACTTTGCTAGTCGCGACATGCAACCAAAGTTAACATGACAAAGACGTGAATGCCACAAATTTGATTCACTATTGTTGCAAATATGATTAACAACTTTATTGCAAACATCTGACAAGGATAAACGAAACAGGCCTCCTGAGTCATAGCCTTTACCAAGAAAGGTTCCATACTTGGATATTACAAATTTATTCGACTCAAAGACAAGCTTGTAGCCATCTCTACACAGAAGAGATCCGCTAACAAGATTTTTATTGACAGAGGGGACATAATGCACGTTCTTCAGCCGCACGATCTTCCCCGAAGTAAACTTCAGATCGACCGTGCCAACACCACGAACAGAAGCACTTGAACCGTTGCCCATCAGCACGGTTGAAGTCCCTGCGGTCTGATAAGACGAAAACATGGAAATATCACCGCATACATGCACATTAGCACCCGTGTCAATCAACCAATCAGGAGAATGACATACTGAAATAATAGTGGGAAATATACCATACCCAACATCCTTCATGTCAGTGTCTCCAATGACAACATTAGCGGTCTTGCCGCCTTTCCCAGGATGACGCTTGTCATAGCGATTAGGGCAACTAGGAGCCCAATGATCAGGATCTCCACACACATGACAAGCACCTTTCTTCTTGCCATTCTTCTTCTTGAAGTTCGTGTGTTGCACAGCCTTGTTCTTTCCATCAAACTTTGCTTTACCATCAAACTTACCCTTGTTCTTGAACTTGTGGGGCTGGAAGTTCTGCTTCTGTACCATATTGGCACTAGATCCTCCCTCAATACCTCGAGCACGTGTGTGCTTTGCTCTCGCCTTTTCTTCCACATCAAGAGTACCAATGAGATCTGGAACGGAAAACTCCTGTCTCTTATGCTTCAGTAAGGTAGCAAAGTTCCTCCATGAAGGAGGAAGCTTAGTGATGATACCTCTGGCAACAAACTTGTCCGGTAGCATGCAATTGAAGTGCTCAAGTTCTCTAGCAAATGACTGTGTCTCATGAGCCTGCTCAACCACGGAGCGCTCTTCAGTCATCCTGTAATCATATAATTGCTCCATGATGTACAGCTCAGTGCCGGCATCCGAGACCCCAAACTTGGCCTCGAGTGCGTCCCACATATCTTTTCCATTGTCAATTGACGCATAAGCATCAACTATGTTCTCATCAAGAACACTCAAGAGAGCAACCTTAAACAAGGTATCCATTTTCTGAAAAACTTGTGCCTGTTGGGCATCTTGCTCTCCTTCAGGTTTGCCAAGAGTGGCGTCATAGCAGCTCATGGTCTAAAACCAAAAGACTGCTCTCACGCGCCACCTCTTATAGTGGATACCCTCAAACATAGGAGGTCTCATGGAAGCAGCAAAACCACTCGGGGTAAATTGCCTATAATAAGGTTTTTGGATTGTTTAAAATATGAGCAATTTACCGAATGATTTTATTAACAAAAATATTAAATAAAGCATGACTAAAATAACAAATATAAAGCAAGTCATGCAATCTGACAGAGAGAAGGTGCGGTCTTGGAGGCCTAGCGCAGAGATTGGAACTGTGTGGCGAGAGAAAGGCGAGGCGAGGCGAGGCGCGTCGTGGCGGGCGGCGGAGGAGCACCCGTGGATGTCCCTCTTGTTCTCATGCTCATACAAGTGGGGAAAGAACCTCCCTTATAAAGAGGTCCAATTCCCACTCAACTAGCAATGTGGGACTAAATTTTAGTAGTATCTCTTGCCTTGCACAAATGGGCTAAGTGGGCCTTTAGGATTTATTAGGAATTTCTGAAATAGTTATTGGGCTGCCCCAATATAGACTAAATTCCAGCACACACCCCCATCGAAAGAGATTCCCGTCAGACCGTTAGGTTTCCAAGCGATTACATGTTGGACCCGGTTGTCAATCTGATGTAGCAGACCTAAATGGACTGCCTTATATCCGTTCCAGATTTAAGCTGGATATATATCAGTCCGGATGTTTGAGGGCCATTTGACCCGGCGTCTCGTGTCATGTTAGACTCGGTCGGTCCATCGACCGCAAGCCGCACCCGGGTCGAACAGCAGGGGACTCCGGTCCGGCGGCACCGAACCGACCGGCTCTTCTTCATCTTGCTCCGCAAGAAGCCCACCCCGGCCGCATAAGCCCACTCCCCCCGACCAGCAGCGGCGGCGACCCCCTCCCCTCCTCCTCCCCCAATTCGAACCCGGCGCCCTCCGTCCCGGCGACCTCGCGACTCCGGCCGGCCATGTCGGTGAGTGCCCCTGACCTCCCCCGCGCCCCCTCGCCGCAGATCTCGATTTCCCGGCCCGCCTGACGGCCCGCCCCCCGCGCAGATCTTCGAGTACAACGGCTCCGCGGTGGTGGCGATGGTGGGGAAGAACTGCTTCGCCATCGCCAGCGACCGCCGCCTCGGCGTGCAGCTGCAGACCGTCGCCACCGACTTCCAGCGGGTCTTCAAGATCCACGGCAAGCTCTACATCGGCCTCTCCGGCCTCGCCTCCGACGCCCAGACGCTGTGAGCCGCTCCCCAGATCCCCCCGCCCTCTCGCCCCTGGTCGATTTGTCTTGCTTAGGGTTTGTTTGTTTGTTGGCGTCGGCGCGCAGGTACCAGCGGCTCGTGTTCAAGCACAAGCTGTACCAGCTGCGGGAGGAGCGCGACATGAAGCCCGAGACCTTCGCCAGCCTCGTCTCCTCCATGCTCTACGAGAAGAGGTGAGGGCTTTTTAACACTGGTGCAGCTTCAGAGAAACTAGTGTAGTTAGCTGGATGATGTGCACATATATTTGAAGGCCGATTGGGGTCTAGTATTGTGCTGAAACGTGCAAATTAGGCCATGTTAACTGTCTAATGTTATACGTATATAGGTGTAACAATCTGTTCCAGGCTTCATTTATTCTTAGGTGGCTTAAGACCTTTGTTATACAAACTGAATAGTGATTAGAGGCAGCTACTTTTATGATTTAGTATAGACATTTGCAATAAGTACCATCACCATAACGTTATGGTTTGCCTAATATTTACGACTTGGGTAAACATATAGGCGTATACTAAGAAGCAAGAACAAAGCTGCAAAGCAGGTGCCATTACCTTGATTATCGAGTGATCCATTTAGTGCCAGAAATATATTAATTTTCACAGTTTTATTGCTTGTTAATTTGCTCAAAAGTACTATCCAGTATTTTGCAGTGTTGTGACCTATTGGACAGTGTAGTACTTCAAAAGAGTTACATCCATGAGTAGGAAGTTAGCTGAGCATCAATAAAATTCATAGATAGCTTATAAAGTAAAACTGAACACTTCTGGAACTAGAACCATAGGTCAACAGTGAAGTCCTGGTAATTAGCTGGCCAATTGTGTTAGATATGAACCACAATTTCTGATTGATAAGCTTGATTCTTTAATGTTTCTACCTACGCAGTAAGGTACTCAAGTCTTTAGCCTTTGTATATTACACCCTCCGTCCCAAAATAAGTGTCTCAACTTTGTACTAACTTCAATACATAATTGTACTAAAGTTGAGACACTTATTTTTGGACGGAGGGAGTAATATTGACCTGTGTCCTATCTATGCTAAACTGTGTGTCTTCATTATATGTGATTTGATAACAGAGAGAGGTTAATCTAACTTTTGTGTGCTAATGAAACACCAGATTTGGGCCGTACTTCTGCCAGCCAATTATTGCTGGACTTGGACAGGATGACGAGCCATTTATTTGTACCATGGACTGCATTGGTGCAAAGTAGGTATCAGTTTTTTTTTGTGTGTGTGTTTTTGCCTTCTGCACATTTTTTTCATGTATTTCATACACATGGTATTCTGGTTGATTATCTGCTTCTCATTGGCATTGCTACTGTTTATTCTGTTGAGTACTATGCCTGCTTTGGTTCAGGGGGTAAGGGTAAGTTCCCTTCACGATTTTTGAAATTATATATAGGTCCGCCAACTAAGCCAAAATTGACCTGACTTTGGAAAACCAGTAAATCATCAACAAGTTGGCTCATATATGACTGCTCATGACAGGAGTTGGTTTTGCTTCCATGGCCGAAGTGAAAAACCTGAATTTTAAAGCACATTGAGGATTTGATTTGTATACCCCACATTAATAGCAATATGGCTATAAATATTTGGGATTTTTTTGGGAGAGCATATCACTACCCAGAATGTTGCTCATTTGACTCACCAACCAATAAATGCACTTGCACACAATTGACACAATCTCTTTGTCCCACATAATTGGTATGCTGGGCATTGGTTAACTCCCTTCAACTGTTTCTTTTCTGAAACTGGCAATCATTTTCATTTCTCACTCCATTCTGAAACAAGACCTTAGCACTTACATAGTTTCATATAGAAGTACAACACCTAATTATGCTTTTCGTTGGTTATCTATATGTGGTTTGTAGATCTCATTATGCCTCCCGCTCTCATCTAGTCATCTTGTGAGCTAACTGCACCTATTTATTCATGTCCAGGGAACTTGCTAAGGATTTTGTTGTCTCAGGGACAGCATCAGAGTCCCTATATGGTGCTTGTGAATCCATGTACAAACCCAACATGGTACGCATTTGTATTGCCAATTTTAGCCAGTGCAACATGCTTTATTTACTTAGTTCTTGTGAGATGAAATCATGAGACACATCAAATTCACATTTCTCTTGTGGGCCTACCATATTTTATACAGCCTCATTGGCGATCATTGATTTGTACTTTAGGCTGCAAACTCTTCTACTGCCATTATTTTGTCATTTTGTGATGCAAGTTGCCTGACACCATCTTTTTTTCCATGGCAAAAGGAACCCGAGGAACTCTTCGAGACCATATCACAAGCCCTGTTGTCGTCAGTTGATCGCGATTGCCTCAGTGGGTGGGGAGGCTATGTTCTAATTGTGTAAGTTCACTACTCACCTCTGTTACCGGCTCATAATTTGACCTTGTATTGTTGATGGGGCACCCACCTTGTCTGGAAATAAATCAGTACGAAGGAAACAATAAAGAATGCATGGATAGAAAGCTTGAAGCTGTATTGCATCCACGCTTAAGCCATTTGACCACTACTGTTAACCGACTGTTGATCTAGTTCCTTGGCATCTTGTCCTTTGGGTTTTTGCAGGACACCGACCGAAGTTCAAGAGAGAATTCTAAAGGGCAGGATGGACTAGATTATGCATGGCCTAGAATTCGTCAGCCGCTTTCCGATGCTTCTACGCATGCTGTTTCGACATCCCTGTTGTGCCCTGGTTCCGCAGTAACCTTGTACTGTCAAACTGATGATGTTATATTTGCCCGTAGAAAGAACATTTGTTGTGTTCTTATTTCTGCTTTCTATCAATGGTGAGACATCTCTTTCACGTGCTCCGTCGCGCCTTGATGGTGAAACATATGGAATTGTCATTTTCTCTAAGGTTAGGATACCACGCTCATATGCACGCGCGAGTGCATTGTGCAATTGACCACTGGACTAATGGATACACCTTACACTATGTAACGTGCTAGAAATATATTACAACATGGGATTGCACGGCAAAAGTCTTTCCTGAAATATCCTGAAATTTAAAAGTGTGTACGCACAAGCATGCATGTAGTTTTGTGGTCTAATTTTTGTCTTTATCTATGACCTGGCATGTACTAATAGGATGGTCACGTGAGAAGACACATTTAATTCAATGTTTGTTGGATGTGCATATGCATTTATTTGGTTTATAAATTTTTGAAAAGTCATATCTTTCAAACCATGCGTCGGAATTCAGATCCGTGCAATTTTAGTACAACATGGTGTAACTTCTTTCAAAACTATTTTGTAAAGCTACATGATCAAAATTCTTATGAGATTTGCAACCTAGAAACCATGACAACCAATTTTTAGTAATGTGCAACCAGTCTACTATCCTGGTGAACTATCTAATAGTCGATGTGCAACCCTCATGTTCCCTATTCATGGATGATATAGGTTTTTACTGTTGTCGTATCATGCCCCACCTACCTTCCAGCTATACGTGCAACTTACTCTGTTATTTTAGCTAACTTTATAGTAGTCAATGGTCAACTCCTTCCCCTCCATACTTGTGGATATTTAGTTTTAGTTGGCGGGGGCAATAAGCAAAGTTGCACATAATTTGCTAGGCAGTTGGTTGGGGCAGAAGATAAAGTTGCACATCACACCGACATGGATTTTTGGATGGTGAAACACTGCACATCCATAAGACCATGAGGGCAGAGAAAACTTGTCTATAGTGAGACCCTAAAGATGCACATCTCACTAGGGGTGGGTGGGAAGGGGTGCAAGCAATGAAAACTACACACCCACGGGAACGGGGAAGTTGCACATCGACCATTAGGTAGTTGGTTGGGACAATTTTCAAAGTTGCACATCCACTGCTTGGCAGTTGACCAAGGTGGCAAACAGTAAAGCTGCACTTCTAACTATAGGGAAAAAGTTGCATATCGACTACTAAGAAGTTGACTGGGACAATAGACGAAATTGCACATCTCACTTGATAGTGGGTAGTTTGGGGTGAGGTGCCATCGATGAAAACTGCACATCCATGGATATAGAGAACGTTGCACATGGACTATTAGGTAGTTGTACATCAACATTTGGGCAGTTGCACAAAATAGAGAAAAAATTCCACAAAAAGAAGTTTGACGAGACATACTCATATGGGATCTAGTTTCGAAGAGCACATCGCGAGGATTTTAAGTGTGAAAGCGGATCTTAATTTTGATGTTCGTTCAAAAGTTATGACTTTTCTAAGAAAATTAAATGCGTCCACAGTTGTTCGCATGTGTGCTTTTCCAATTTTGTTTAAACATGTAGTATGATCTTTGTCTTTTTCTTATTATGAGGACAAAATATTTTCTAATCTATTTGATTAGGACAAAAATATACTAAAAAGGGAAGGCTGCCATGAAGTGCTACCGAGCCAACGGCCGATCGGCAAATAACGTCAAAGGTGTATCTACTTTTTTTAGGGGTCTAACTCAAGCAAGACATTCGCCTCCAATCTTGTGGTAATGGTACAACAAAGGAAGAAGAGATAGCTAAGATCCGAGTTGAGTTCTATAGGCACTAGAAGAGATTGCTGAGATTTGGGTTGAGTTGTATAGGCACTGGATGAGCCGGAAATACCGAGTTGAGTTATGTTACAAGAATGAAGTCGAGTTGTACAGTCCAGACCAAGAATTATCGTCTGGCGTACATTGCACGGTACTCCCCGTGTCATATGACGCTCGCTAATAAACACATGAAAGTTTCATCCATCTGCTCATCATGCTCAAATGGGTCAGAAGACACAAAACACGTCTTGGTGTCAGAAGACGAAAGAGGTTTGGGACAAGTTAGGATTGTATGAGGTGATCAGTAGAGCTTGTGCTGTCGATCGGGTGGGAGAGATAGTTCTTGAATGTTATTACTTATGCCAGACCAAGAGTTATCTGTATTGGGCCTCTAGAATGTACATGAATTTATCGCTATAACAGCTACTGGTTCATGAAGGAAAGTCTCAAGATGCATATCAAACTTCGATGGGGGCTCGTGCTATGACGGCGAAATATGTTAATGCACACTCCTCTAAGACAACCAGTAAAAAAGGGGATGGAGCAGACCTCCTATGGGTTTTGTGGAACTAAATGTTGATGCTTCTTTTGATCATGATCTGCTTAGGGGCACGGCGGGAGCACTCCTCAGAGATGACAAAGGAAGGTTCATTGTTGGCGGAAATTGGAGGATCGATTGGTGTGCCGATGTATTAATAGCAGAAGCACTGGCTCTAAGGTTTGGCTTAATCCTTGCATAGAAGGTGGGTTGCAATCACCTTATTGTCAACTCTGATAATATGGAAGTGATTGACACAATGAAAAATGGAGAACAATCGGCAGGAGTGGCGGCGGCAGTGTTCGACGACTGCTATTTTATGGCATGTGTTTTTCCTATTACTAGGTTTGAGAATTGTAGTAGGAAAAGCAAATAAGACCGCTCATGAACTCGCTAGGCTAGTAAATTTTTCCGAGACTAGGGATTGGTGTGAGGAGCCTATGGATGGCATTGTATCTTATTGACCATGTAACTAATATATCTAATTAATGAAGTGTGATGTTTATTTAAAAAAAGTTGAGTTGTATAGGCATTAATTTCTTTCCCAGTTCCATCTAAATGAGTGTTTGATTGTAGGCAGAAGTGAATGAGTTGCAAGTATTTAGACTTAGGGAAAAGTGCACCTCCTTTCGTCGCCTAGAGGAGGCGACCAGGGGGTGAAACCCTAACCGCCCTGCCTGCCCGTAACCCCCACCACCCCGCGCGCTCCCGCCCCTCGTAGCCCCCCTCCCCTCCAGGCCACTATCAGACAAAGCTGAGCGTCACCGGTAAAGGGGGCGGCGGGGATCTAGTGCCTCTCGGCTCCTGGCGCAATGGTTAGGAGGGAGGCCAACGTGTTGGGTGTCGGGAGCCTCTCCTCCGTCCTACATCTGGGCGTCGAGGAGGGCCAGTGCACATCGGGCGTCCTCCAGGTTGGTGGCCCCTATGTGGATCTTTGCCTGGCTGCACGAGCGGGGAGCTGCCGCTCGAGGATGGTGCAGGGCATGCTCGCCTCCCGGGAGATGGCCATGAGCGCTTGGGACCGGCGGCTCAAGGAACGGTGCAGGGCGCGCTCGTTCCTCCGAAGAGTTGGCTGAGAGCACTCAAGACTAGCGGAGCATGTGGGTGAGGGGTGGCGGTGGATCGGGATCCGCCCCAATTTGGCGGTTGTATTCCGCCAGCAATGCGGGCTAGCGTAGGCTGGTGTCCTCCTCCGCCATGGTGGCGATGGTGTCGACGTGGTGGAAGCAGCGGTGTGGTGATGGTCCTAGTGCTCTTATCGCAGCACGGGAACGATCCGCATGATCGGTCCTCCTCGATCTGGTCGTCAATGTGTCCCGGAACTGCTGCCGGGGATTGATGACCCACAAGTGTAGGGGATCGCAATAGCTTTCGAGGGTAGAATATTCGACCCAAATTTATTGATTCGACACAAGGGGAGCGAAAGAATATTCTTGAGTATTAGCAGTTGAGTTGTCAATTCAACCACACCTGGATAACTTAGTATCTGCAGCAAGGTATTTAGTAGCAAAGTAGTATAATAGTAATCGTAACAGTAGTAAAGATAAAGATAGCAAAAGTAATATTTTTGGGTTTTTGTAGTGATTGTAACAGTAGCAACGGAAAAGTAAATAAGCGAAGCACAAGATGTGAAAAGCTCGTAGGCAATGGATCAGTGATGGATAATTATGTCAGATGCGATTCCTCATGTAATAGATATAACATAGGGTGACACAGAACTAGCTTCAATTCATCAATGTAATGTAGGCATGTATTCCGAATATAGTCATACGTGCTTATGAAAAAGAACTTGCATGACATCTTTTGTCCCACCCTCCCGTGGCAGCGGGGTCCTAGTGGAAACTAAGGGATATTAAGGCCTCCTTTTGATAGAGAACCGGACCAAAACATTAACACATAGTAAATATATGAACTCCTCAAACTACGGTCATCACCGAGAAGTATCACGATTATTGTCACTTCGGGGTTGTCGGATCATAACACATAATAGGTGACTATAGACTTGAAAGATAGGATCAAGAACACACATATATTCATGAAAATATAATAGGTTCAGATCTGAAATCATGGCACTCGGGTCCTAGGACAAGCATTAAGCATAGCAAAGTCATAGCAATATCAACCTCAGAACATCAACCTCAGAACATAGTGATGCCATATTCAGAAGATAGGATCAAGAACATCAACATTAAGCTACAGTGATCCCCCGCTAATGATGCCATGTCACCTCGGTTACTGTTGATAAACTCTAGATAATTCAAAACCGAAACAAATTCAAAATTTAATTACAGGAAAATAATAAAAGTTTTCAAACATTAAATTTAAAAATGTTTGGTTTGTACTAAATATTACATAGATAATTATGGTGTAGAAGACACAGTTTTATAAAGTGCATAAATATTTTAAATTAAATTAAAACAGAAAAGAGAAATAAACAAAAGAAAATGCAAAACAAAAAAAGCCCCCCCCCGCAGGGCCTTTTGGCCCAACTGGCCATCCACGCGGACCCCCAGCCGCCCGAATGGGCCAGCCCACCCCGCGCACCCACTCCCTTATCCCCCCACTTCC